CTACTGGCTTGGGGTCTGTGGAAGCTTCTATTTACGTCGTGTTGAACGCTTTTCGTTCTGACTATTTTTTTGTCTACCCTTTCTGCGATTTCGTACTGGGTAGTTAGGAAATCTTTCATTTGTTGCCACGTGGGGCATTTTCTTCGTGATGAGAGCGATTGCTCCCATAGAAGTTATGATTTTTCTGGTAATGCGGCAGTGCATATGTTTACCAGTATAGGGTCCCAGCTGTCTGTGGGAATATTTTGTGTCGATAAAATTTACAAACAATTTGAAACAGTGGATTGAAGTTTGATAAATTCTTCACTTGTTTCCTTTTGAATTTTTGGCAAGTTCATTAATATCGATATTTGTTTATCGACCAATATTCTTTCGTTCTCGAATCTTGATTTAAGAGCTTCCCAAACCAAATTGAAATTATCGTTATTTAGTGCGAACTGTTTTACTTTTACTCCTGCTTGACCTTTTGTTTTGTATCGAAGGTGATACAATTTTTGAGCATTTGTTAATTTTGGATGGTTTATGTAAACGGCAGTAAACATGTCTCGGAAGGACGGCCATTGTTCATAACCACCATGAAAGATTTCTGTGTCACATGCGGGCACCTTGAGATAGATGCCTGAATTTGCCTCTTGGCATTGGATTTGTGGCAGCTCTACTCTTGGCTGTGGAGTAGGTGCAATTGCTTTGATTAATTTTAATTGGTTAGAAATCATTGCTTTTGTTTCTTCAAACTGGGCTAAGCAGTTTTCGTATTTGGCGTAAGCAGAAGATTTGAAATTTTCCGGTAGATCTGAGTCGTCAGATTCAACGATTGCGTCATATGAAGCTTGGAGACGTGTCCAAAAATTGTCAAGATTGTCTTTTTTAATTTNTGAGTCAGATAAGTCAAATGTGCTGGAATGAGAATTAAAATCATGACATATACGGCGGAATGGCTCGGTTAGTTCAAAATTTGATCTACAGAATTTTAGCAGTAAAAGTCTAAACTGCCTCGAAAGGCGAACCGGGATATTAAATTTAATTTCAGACAGGAGAAAAGAACTGCAAACAGTTCCATTCAAAAGTTTCACTAAGAATGTTATGCCAAGCATTTCCCTACGACTAGAAAGTGTAGGTAGATTAATAAGTTTTAAACGACTAGTGTATGGAGGTAGACTTACCCTAGCATCCCATCAGAAATGCGCTAAGGCGAAAAGTAAAAATTGTTTTTGAACCAACTCTAACTTGTCAGAATGGATTTGGTAGCTAGGGTTCCATACCACAGAGCCATATTCTAATATAGGTCTAACCAAAGTTCTATAAAGTGTTTTAGTAATATACGGATCTCTAAATTCTTTAGACCAACGTTTAACAAAACTGAGGACAGCTTTTGCTTTCAAGACCCTGGTATCAATATGAAGACTGAAATTAAGCTTAGGGTCCATATTAACTCCCAAATTAACATAGTTTAAAACTTGCTCTAGAATATGGTGTTTTATTACATAAGAAGAGGGGTGCTCAGATCTATGGGAAAAGCACATCGTCTTACATTTATTGAGATTCAATGGCAAATCATTTCTATCACACCATGCACCCAAATTGTTTAAGTCTGTTTGCAACAGACACCTTTCCTCAGTTGAAGTGTATGGTTTAAAAAGCTTTACAGCGTATAATAAAATTTTAGAGGATTCTATTACTGAAGAGATATCGTTAATAAACAACAAGAACAGAATCGGGCCAAGATGACTACCTTGCGGAACACCAGAAGAAACATTAATTGTATCTGAAGGTGTATCCTCAAATATCAAAATTAGACTGTCACTCTCTGCAATGAATTTGGTATATGAAATGTCTTTTATCTTTTTTTGTTTTGTAGCACCTTGCTTTGAGCGTGTACTTTTAGATGTTGAATTGCTTTAGATTCCTTAGAATCTGCGTTCATTTAAAAAGATGAAAGTAAAATTAAAAGTTTAAATTTTTTTTTTTTTTTAGATATATTTTATAAATTTTACACTGATGATATTGGATAAATGAAGAGATTACCTTATAGATAAATAGTATGTTTTTTTTTGTTGTATCCGGACTTCGCCAATAACAAACGCGTATTTCGTTTTTCTTATTATCGGGTTTTATTTAGTTCGCTTTTTGTTTTTCTCTCTTTGTATTTTATAATTTATTGTTACGTACTCGTTTGTATGTATTTTAATTGTGTATATTACCGCTTTTTAAAAATGAGGTTATTAACCTTTGTACATAAGCGTGCACGTTATGTGCATATGTAATATGCTTAAAAGTTTTGTTTGCAATCCTGCTTGTTTGTGTTTTAACAAGAACAAGGGGTATTGCCAGAAAAGTGCCGATACGGTCTTTGAATATATCTACTGTGTGTGTACTAGTTATGCGCTATTCCCACCAAGCATTACTTTGTCTTTGTTTTTTCGTTTGTTAAACCGATTGTTCTTGTGCCCTTGTTTTTTGTTGTAATAAATTTTAATTCTGTCTAAAAATTTAATAATTCCTACTTATGTACCGCAACGCTTAATGTTCGGAAATTTTGTTATTATTACGTTTAAAGTCTTTTATTATTAGCAATAGTTTTACCTAAAATAATTTTAAATATTGTACCCAATGTGTGTAGGGTATACAGACATAGGCAAATTTTAAGCCGTGTGTATGTATGTATATGCTTGTTAGGTTTGCTAGAGGAATGACGCGGGAAAAGAAAATAAATAATGTGCAGGTACACACTTTTTAGTTGGTATCGTTCTTGTATATATGTTAAAAATTATTCTCTTCGTAACTTTGTTAGTTACGTATATATAAACGTATATTAAATGTAATATATATAGTATATAGATTTGTAAGTACTTGGCAAGTAATCGTGCAGATATGTATGTATGTTTTTCTTTCTTTTTTTTCCGTTTGAATTTTATTTATTTTTCCAATTTGCCTTGCTTACTTATTTTGCGCAATCCTGCTTATGATTTATTAAACATAAGGGGTATTGCCGGAAAAAGTGGTCAAGTGAGTAGTTGAAAAAAAATTTTTTTTTGTGTTTATTAAATATGTGTGTTTGGATACACAAAGGTAAGCATGTATAGGCTTTGGTTTCTTTAAAATAAATATGTTTTATATATACATCACAACTAAATTGATTAAACATTCTGGGAAATATACAAACCCCTAGCACTAACAGAATTGAAACCAGGCCATTGTTCGATACGGTTAACAAAAATTTGGCACATTTAAAAGGAAAAATATAAAAATTAAAACCACACTTCAGACAAATAAAAGGGACTAATAAACGTATTAGGGAAAGGACTCAAGTGTATAACAGGTACATGGGACAGTGACGACCAAACTGAAATATATGGTATAAATCACTCAGATCACTTTATAAAAATAAAGAAACTTTGACAAACTAAATTTATAACCCAACATTTGTTAACCACTTTATATTCTCCCAAATGCAGAACATTACGGACCAGGTAACCCAAAAACAAATTCTAATAGGAAATTATTTGAATAAATTCAAAAACTTTATGGAAAACATAATAGCTACAATAGCAGATGAAATTCCATTTATACTTGTAGAACAAATTTCCCAAATTAATTATGACATATCACTTTTACGAAACAATGTCGATGAGATTGGACAGATAATATTTTCCACTGAACTTTTAATAATTCCTACGGACATTCTAACAAATACATCTTAATTTGATAACAATTTCGACAGTTATACAAATATCAAAGTTGCCGTTGCCTTAAATAAAAACAATATAGTAATAATCTTCCAAATCCCACAATATTCAAAGTAAAATCGATTTCGAACTTGCGTGGTACAATCAAGTTCAAAACTTCCACCACTTAAGCTTTCTACGTTTAATGGCAAGTATCCGAATTATCAAAATTTTATCACCTCGTTCAAGCAAATAATTAATCGTAAGTTCAATTTTAATAATATTGAAAACTTCAACCATTTGCGAAATTATCTCCAAGGTCAAGCCTTAGAAACTGTAAATACATTCCAAGTGACAAATAAAAACTATCCGAAGGCGTTAGAACGGTTGAAGGTACGGTATGACAAAAAAACACAAATTTTTTTGGAAGGAATAAATTCGTTATTTGATTTACCAGCAGTTATGAAACCAAATGGCATTCAGTTAAGAAGTTTAATTAATAAGACTTCAGCTATTTATGGTTCCATGACATCGCTATATTCATTTAATTTTGCAGAAGTCTAATGAACAAACCAACAAAAAGTGGAAGGAGTCGCTAGATTTCAGAACGCTGCCGTCATGGGAGGATTGCACCATAGTTTTAGAAAGACACTGCCAATACCTGGAGTCACTGGACAACACGCATTTTAGTACTTCGTCAACTCAAGGTGCTCGAAATCAAGAAATCAACCACGAGGCTATACATTTTTCTGCTCCAACATAACGTGTACTTTCTGTTCCAGTAACAACCATCAGGTTTTTAATTGCGAACGCTTTAAGTCACTAAACATTACTCTGCGTTTCAATCATGCAAAGAAAATTGGACTTTGCATCAATTGCCTATCAAAGGGACATCGTGTAACCAATTGTCCATCATCACACAGGTGCAAGGTTTGTGCACGGCAGCACCACAGTTTACTCCCCCGCGGTTCTACTTCAGGCCAACAAACACCTACTCAGGTATTTACAAAACAAGAGGTCACAGTCACGCATATACACAGGAGTTATTCATCGTTCAATAACGTCATCTTTGCAACAGCAAAAATTTTCATTCGTGATGCAGCGGAGAGCTACAGATTGGGTACAGCACCGCTAGATTCCTGTTCACAGGTAAATTTTATTACAGATGATTTTTCGCAAAAGTTCCTTATGCCAAGAAATAAGCAAAACATACAAATACAAAGCATCGCTTCATCGTCGACAAATATTAAATTCAAAACATCAACTAATATCAAGTCGCAAGTCACTGGCTTCGAACTTCCATTGACTTTTTGTATTACATCGCACATTGCTTATCAACCAGATCCTGAAATCAATATTTCAACATAGAATATTCCACACAATATAGCGTTCGCTGATGATGAATTTTATATACCAAAGAAAATCGGCATGTTGCTGGGTACAGAAACGTTCTTCAGTCTTTTATCTGTAGGCCAAATCAATCTGGGATCTAATTTACCCATCTTGTAAAAGACACTCTTAGGCTGGATTGTTTCGGGACGTATTTGACGGGCAGTAACAACATATCTAAACTATCTTATTTATTTTTAGCCAATGAATCTTTAGATGCCAAATTCGAAAAGTTGTGGAAATTGGAAGAAATCACTACCATACCAGAGGCATGCATGGTAAACAACAGAGTCGCGATCACATATACAATTCAACTGTGTCAAGAAGACCTTGTGGCAGAATAGTTGTCTAATTACCTTTCAAGGATGATCCGACGTGTTTGGGCGAGTCATATATGTACTAAGGCATTGAGACGATTCAATGCACAAGAACGTCGATTAGGCAAATCACCGCAATTGAAAGCACAATGAATTTATGAGCGACTACGAGAGTTTGGGTCATATGAGCGTTGTAAAGAATCCACATCTCAGCAAACCGCATTATTATATACCACATCATTGTGTGCTAAAACCAACAAGTACAACAACAAAGCATCGAGTTGTATTTGACGCTTCCTATCGAACCACATCCCAAAAATCATTAAACGATATTCAGATGGTTGGCCCTACAATTCAATGCAAACTTTTTCTTCTTCTTCTTCGTTTTCGATTCCACAGGTTTGCACTCACTGCCGACATAGTCAAGATGAATCGCCAAGTATTAATACACGAAGATGATCGAAAGTTCCAGTACATTCTGTGGAGGAGTTCACCAACTGAAGATATTCGCACGTATCAACTAAATACTGTAACGTATGGAATGGCTGTTGTACCATATATTACTATACGGAGTTTGTTCTATTTAGCTGAGCAGCATTCAGAACAATTTACAATTGACGCAAAAATCGTGATGTCACCACTCTACACAGTCGACCTACTCTGTGGTGCTGATTCTCTAACCGAACTTGTACATATAAAGCAAGAGGTAATACAACTGTTAGAATTAGGACAGTTTAAATTAACAACGTGTCATTCCAAATACCATCAATTCAGAGAAGACGACTCTATAAAGGATCTAAACGTAGGTACATCCATCACTAGTACACTTGGACTAAAATGGAACCAAAATCTTGATTGTTTTATTTTTTCATTTGAAGCAAAACTAAAACTGACTGGCCGACTTACAAAACATTCCATCCTTTTTGTTGCATCATCACTTTACGACGCACTTGGTCTTTTAGTTTCTGTTATTATAACATTAAAAATTTTTTTGCAAAAAATATAGTTACTAAAGTTGGATTGGGATGAATCTGTGCACAGAAAATTTGCTTGAAAAAAGTTTCTTAGCTGCTTATCGGATCTTTCAATAATTAAAGTACCGAGGCACTGTTTTTTGACAGATGTGGAATCTCTTCAGATACATGGATTTTGTGACGCATCGATTCGTACATATGCCTGCGCAATATAAACTCGCGTTATCAACAAATGTGGCACTACTACTACCATTCGCCTACTCACTGCGAAGTCCAGAGTGGCACCTACCAAAAAACAATCGTTACCCAAATTAGAACTTTGAGGCGCTCTTCTTCTTGCTCGTCTTTTAGCAAAAATCAAACCAACAATTTCTAACAAATATTTTAACATTTTTCTTTGGACAGACTCACAAATAGTATTACATTGGCTTAAGGTGCATTCTGCAACACTTTCGACTTTTTTGGTAATCGAATTTCGGAAATTCAAGATTTAACCAAAGGCGCCCATTGGAGACATGTACCAACGCATTGTAACCTGGCGGATACTGCCTCTAGAGGATGTACTGTAAACGAACTTGTTAATTCAATATGGTACACCGGACCAAACTTTCTATACGAAAACTCTGATAAATGGCCAAAGAACAGCTGCGACGATATCGACATGGAAATTGTCAATAGGGAGAAACGAAAATCATTATTCAATACAATTGTTAGCACCAATTATATTTTGGAAACTGTGAATCTACACCAGCAACCTTCAATTAATAGCTTGGATGTTCCGCTTCATCAATAAATTTCGACATGGTGCCAGTCTTCATACATATTGAACACATACATTTCGCTAATGAAATTCATTTTTTACAGAAAGAGCTTACGATAAATGGCCCCTTACGTTATTTAAATCCTTTTCTCGAGTATACCTAAGGATTTCAAAAACTCAAAGTTGGGGTTCGATTGGAATCAGCAGATATTCGAGAAGAAAGGAAATACAAGAAACATTGTGTATTACGTTCACCATCTACATCGGAAGCACTACCAAGCAGGACCAAAGGCACTCGTAGCACTGATAAGACTTCAGATTTGGATAGTCAATGCGCGCGATTTAGCAAGACGCATCGTCAGATCATGCACCCATTGTATACGTTACAAGCCGAAGCTGATGAACCAAGTAATGGGACAGTTACCTGTCGAGCGATTAACTCCATATCGCCCTTTTGCGCGATGCGGAATTGATTTCTGCGGGCCAGTCAACGTATATTTGCCTATTCGAGGCAAAACACCTTATAAAGCGTACATTGGGATCTTGGTTTGTCTAGCGACAAAGGCGGTTCACAACGAACTAGTATCGGATCTATCCACGGACGCATTCTTAGCGTCATTGAAGCACATGATTGGAAGAAGAGGTCTACCCTTTGACATCTTTTACGATAACGCAACAAATTTTGTGGGTGCTTGCAACAAACTAGCTGAATTAAAGTCATTTTTGTTTAAAACCGAAAACAAAGATGCAATCAAAAAATATTATGCTAATCTTAATATATATAAATCTCGTGTCACAATGTTTGTCCTCAATGGACTCCTAAACCACTTAACCGATTATAATAAAATTCGCACACCATGTGCAGTTCGATCCAACTTGAGAGATAGGATAGTTTGAATCTCAAATTATAGTCGCAATTTTAATTTATTGCTAATTATTTGTCTGTTATTATTTGACAGTCACAATTATCTGTTAACTCCAAATGATTCTAACAAATGTCGATTCCTTTCGACTGGGTTGAGTAAGTAATTAATAGATGGCGCTGCTATGGTAAATCTACGAACGTGTCATATAAGCTACATTTTAACAGCATAATTACATTACGTGTTACATAATTAAAGATTTAAACAGCAATAATAAACTTTTCGGTGGTGCTATCTTACTTTTGTCTGGTGACTTCCGCAGACCTTACCGGTTATACCTCGCTCTACTTTCGCGGATGAGATTAATGCATGTTTGAAACAATCATTCTTATGGCGAAGTGTTGAAACACTTCGATTGACCATAAATATGCGAGTACAATTGCAAAATGATCCATCAGCACAAATATTTTCCAAACAACTACTAGATATTGGGAATGGTAAAATAGAACTGCAACCAAATACGCAATGCATTAAACTACCAGACAATTTTTGCACTGTTGTTCAGGATAAAAATTAATTGATTCAGAGTATTTTCCCGAATATACAGAATAATTATTTGAATCATGAATGGCTTAGTCAACGGGCGATTTTGGCAGCCAAAAACGTTGATGTTGACGAAATTAACTTCCAGATACAACAGTTGTTACCAGGCGATCTGGCGTAAATTTTCCGATTGAATTTTTAAATTCATTAGATATCCCTGGAATGCCACCACATAATCTTCGATTAAAGATTGGTTCCCCTATTATTCTCCTTCGTAATTTGAATCCACCTCAATTATGTAACGGTACGCGTTTGGTCATCAAAAAGATCACCGGAAACATTCTTGAAGCAACCATTTTGGCTGAGAAGTTTAAAGGAAAAGTGGTCCCGCTGCCACGTATTCCGATGATACCATTAGACTCTACCATACTCTTCAAAAGGCTACAGTTTCCAATTCGTTTAGCTTTCGCCATGTCTATCAATAAATCTCAAGGTCAAACAATGTCCATTTGTGGTTTAGATTTGGAAAATCCATGTTTTTCTCATGGGCAACTAAATGTTGCGTGTTCACGTGTTGGGAAACCGTCGAATCTATTTGTGTTAGCTAAAGACAGGTTAACCAAAAACATTGTGCACCGATTGGTGTTAAATTAAATTGAAATTGAAAGTATTTATAATTCAACAAAATAGATATTAATGTTTAAAAGTTTAAGACTGTCTGCCTTGCCTACCTCATTCATGAGTTTAAGCGTCACATGTTATTTCCTGTATTATACTGTAATATACTTATTTGTTATAAAATTAAATGGAAATAATAAATCTGATAAATTTTTACTTTGTATGGATTTCTGCTTAATATCAAGTGTAAGAACATTTTAATTAATTGTGTTCAACGTACTTCCCCTTTAAATCTCAATCCAGTGAATTTGTATACCAACATCAACATTTTCATCTTTGTTCGTAAATAATTTCATTGTACTAAAGGGTTATAGTAGTAGAAAGTCAAATAAGGAGATCACCATATTTTTTTTAAAATACCATCTGTGTGAAAAAGCATAGTGGACTCCGCGACTGATGTTCTCTTATTGTTCCTCTTAGATTGTTTATGTGATAATGTAATATAACAAAAACTTAGCCACAGCAACGCGTGGCCGGGTCAGCTAGTGGATTTATAAATTTAAATTTTATTCCTCCCAGAGCACCTCATTTCGGGGGTATTTGGGAGGCAGCAGCCAAATCGGCTAAGGGTTACCTCAATCGCACCATCAAAAATGCAAGACTCACAGCCGAGGAGCTAACAACAGTCCTGGTTGAGATAGAAGCTGTGTTAAATTCTCGGCCAATAACACCAATGTCATCGGATCCATACGATTATAAAATATTAATTTCGGGGCATTTTATTATTGGTAGTGCACTTAGGGCACTCCCAGAGCGGAGATTGTCAGCTAACATCAGCAACGTACAACGATGGAATCAGGTCACAAGCATTAAACAGATGTTTTGGAGCAGATGGTCAAATGAATACATCAACGAACTTCAAGTACGATCAAAGTGGTTTTCGGAGCGACAAAACATCAACAACAACTCAATGGTTATCATCCACGAAGACAACTTACCACCTCAAAAATGGCACATTGGAAGATTTATAAACTGTATTCCAAGAAAGGACTTTAAAGTGCGTGTGGTGGACATTCGAACAACGAAAGGAATCAGTCGGCGACCAATACGGTATTATGTTCTAATACACTTTTTGCTATTTCTTGTTCTCTATTTATTTGCCTAAAATATTCAAGGGCCAGCATTAGTATTTAATTGTATTTGCATTGTGTACATACACTTACATATTTATTTGCTTTGTACATTTATGCTACCGCTATGTTTTCGTAGACGCAATTGCATGAATATTTGTTTGCGCACATTAGCTAGTCCCATTTAACATGTACTAAGCTTAATATGTAAGCAGCCACTTGCAATGATGCGTTCCCATTTTTATACTCTCGCAACCTGTTGCTACAGAGTATAATAGTTTTGTTCACCTAACGGTTGTTTGTATCACCTAAAACTAATCGAGTTAGATATAGGGTTATATATATATAAATGATCAGGATGAAGAGACGAGTTGAAATCCGGGTGACTGTCTGTCCGTCCGTCCGTCCGTCCGTCCGTGCAAGCTCTAACTTGATTAAAAATTGAGATATTTTTATGAAACTTGGTAGACATGTTTCTTGGTACCGTGAGACGGTTGGTATTGCAGATGGGCGTAATCGGACCACTGCCACGCCCACAAAACGCCATTAATCAAAAACAAATAACTTGCCATAACTAAGCTCCGCAATAAGATACAAGACTGTTATTTGGTACACAGGATCACATTAGGAGGGCATCTGCAGTTAAATTTTTAAAACTGGCGTGGGTCCCGCCTTTAATAGTTAATGTGCATATCTCCTAAAACGCTAATGCTTATACAAAATTCACTAGAAGCAAATGTTTTAGCACTTCTATGACGGTGTGAAATAGTTGAAATCGGGTGGCAACTCCGCCACTCCCCATATAACGGTACTGTTAAAACTACTAAAAGCGCGATAAATCAAGCATAAACACGCCAGAGACATTAAATTTATCTCTGAGATGGTATAAAGGCTTTATGCCAAAGTATGCCACCTTGCGGCCAAAATTGTTCTAAATCGAACCAAAACTGTTCAAACCCTAAGTACTAAATATGTGGACCCCGTGTATAGTTGACCTTCTACCGAAAATATCTGTCAATCCACAAGAAATCTCAAACGAGTATACTCATTTGACTTTCCGAGAGTATAAAATGTTCTGGTTTACATCCGAACTTGCCCTTCCCTACTTGTTCATATTTTTTTTCTAATAACAATAATATATTATATACGAAGGAGCAATGCGTAAAATATGTACTTGGGTTTTCTCCTTTTATTACTGTAAAGGATATTAACTTACATACTTATGCATTAATACAAAACGAAACTATGTCTTAACGGTATTGAAATATTGCTTAGAATATTATTTAAGGAGAAGAGTTTTGCAAATAAAATAGTGGAATAGCTGACCACACATAGATCATTACTCGGCCCTTTGTATTTATCGATGTTACAACTTCGCTAAACCTTTCGCTTTTTTCGATATTTGCGCGGCTACAAAAAGCTTGTAGCCTATCATTTTGGTCCACACGTGGGCACGAGTGAGTTTTTGTGCTTTTGCACATCATTTATATAACCTTGGTGGAGGGACATTAAATTCTTACATTCGTCACGTTTAAAAATCGATATATCAATATACGTAAATTTAACTTCAATTATGATAGAAGTATATCATCGTTTAAATAGACGTATCTCTTGAAATTTCAAAAGATCTTAGATAGTTCATTCTGGCACCTGGGCTTTTGTACGCGAATTAAACCTAAACTTAGAAGTCAAACTGAGGAAAACATTGTTAATTACCAAAAGCAACCACCGATATAAAAACTGATTGGTAGAAATTCGCTAAGCATTATTATCAAAAGTTAGAGCCTTAATACAAAATTAACTGACTTGTATTTGAACAGTTCAATTTAATTTCCATATAATTGATTTACAGAACTTGGTTAAAACCTCACATTTTGATAATGAGTTTTAAACAGCGAATTTCAAATTTTTAGATGTGATCGACTGAACAGAATCGGTGAAGTGTTCTATTTGCTGTGCATTCCTCATCCCATCTGAAAATATTCTTGTTCCAGGGACCGACTCATTTGAATTTAAATGTATTAGAGTATACGTTAATAGTTGCTTATTTATTTAACCCTATCTTATATACCACCCCATTCGGACTTATCTGTATACATGCAGCATGCTTCTTTAATAAATAGTGCTACTCGATGGCAAATAATGCAGATTCAATAACTGTATTAGGTGATTTCAATTTACCGTGTGTTCTGAAACCTTCGATGACTATATCGTGCCGATTTGCAATCGGTCATGTTTTAATGAGTTTGTCGAAAAAGTCCGAGTTGGGTCTGACCAAATTAATTTGATTCCGAATAAATTTGGTAAATGTTTAGATTTAGTATACATTGATACCTCTGCAAGTGTTCCGTTATTCAGAGTAATCCTCTTGTTCTACCAGAGGACATATATCCTGCTTTGGAATATCTGTCGAAATCTCAGGCATTGTACGGGATAATAATCATCAAACTTCGTGCTTCTGTACTCGGTTTAACTTTGCAAAAGCTAATTTTAAAAGTTAAATACAGAACTTTCTACAATAACATGGCCTAATTATAATGGTGACATTGAATTGAGTGTCTCTCATTTTAATAACATTATTATGAAATTATTTGAAAGTATGTTCCAATAGTAATTGTTAATAAAAGCAAAAGTATAAGTCCGTGGTTTTCAAAGGGTATATATAAATTGAAAAACAGAAAAAACTCGAGCCTTAAACATTTAAAAAAACGGTTCACTTGTCGACTATTCTAAATTTCTCTATATGCGTCGACAATATTTTGACCTAAACAAAAATGTTATATAATTACTTAATAAAGTAGTAAAAATATTGTAAGTAATCCAAAATCGTTTTATGATTTCTCAACTCCAAACGCCGGATTTCCAAATTTCGTCCGCAATGAAATACAAATCTTCATTTCAAGGGACAATGATATTATATCCAATATGTTTGCAGAATTTTTCAAGTCAAACTACTGAATATTCTTCCAAAACTTTTTCTTATCACAGTGATGTGTTCGAATACTTTATTTAACGCTCCAATTATTCTGAAGAAGACGTCCTATTTAATTTAAATAAGTTAAAACCATCTTTAGTTATGGCCCAGACATGATACCCTCATGCTTCCTAAAAAATAGTGCCAAATATATTTACTTGACTTTGACAAGGATATTTAATTCTCTCTTAAACACTGTAATTTCCTTCAATATGGAAACAGTCATTTATGATCCCTTTGCATAAAGTGGATTTAAATCCAACATTGAAAACTATAGAGGTATCCAAACTATCAGTTATACCTAAACTTTTGAAGTATCATCACTGACCATATAACCTTTCGATTTCTCCGTTAGTTTCCCATCTCAGCATGGATTTCTTAAGGGAAATCGACTCTAACAAACTTGCTTAAATGTGTAATAATGTATCATTGGGTTTAGGAACATAAGCATACGGATGTTATATACACAGACTTAGCAAAGCTTTCGATAAAGTAAATCTCTTGATTTTCGTACATAAACTTGATCTGGTGAGCTTTCAGCCAAGATGTATTAAATGTTTAGCTTTTATCTTTATAATAGAACACAACGAGTGATATTGAGGATACACCTTCAGATACAATAATGTTTCTTCAGGTGTTCCGCAAGGTAAGTCATCTTGGCCCGATTCTGTTCTTGTTGTTTATTAACGATATCTCTTCAGTAATAGAATTCTCAAAAATTTATTATACGCTGACGACGTAAAGATTTTAAATCATACACTTCAACTAAGGAAAGGTGTCTGTTGCAAACAGACTTAAACAATTGGTGCATGGTGTGATAGAAATGATTTGCCATTGAATCTCAATAAATGTAAGACGTGTGCTTTCCCGTAGATCTGTGCACCCCTCTTTATTGTAATAAAACACCATATTCTAGAGCAAGTTTTTACTATGTTGATTTGGAGTTAATATGGACCCTAGTTAATTTCAGTCTTCATATTGATACCATGAGTCTTGAAAGCAATCCTGTCTCAGTTTGTTAAACGTTGGTCTAAAGAATTTGGAGATCGTATATTACTAAAACACTTATACAACTTTGGTTAGACTATTATTTGGAATATGGCTTCTGTGTATGGAACCTTTAGTACCAAATCCATTCTGACAAGTTAGAGTCGGTTCAAAACAATTTTACTTTTCGCCTTAGCGCATTTCCGATGGGATGCTAGGGTAAG